ACTCGAAATGATCATAGAGACCGAATATTTAAAAAAAATATGTATCTCCGAAGGGTCTTGAACTATTCTCACCATTTTTTCAGCTGGCCAACCAGTCAGCCAAGGATCTCTGATCCATTGAAGGCGTGCTAATCGACCAAATGATATTCCTTAAAACATTGCTTGCAAATAACTCATTAGAAATCTAACAAATTTGACCATTTCAAGGGCAAAATTTTTGAGCCAACGTAAAAAGTATTCATGCACTCGTTTGTTTTAGCTAAAAGTTTATCATTTGTTTGAAAATGTTTATTTTAATTGTCGATATTTCGATGTTTTCTTGTGTTTATGAGGTAATTTGCATTACTTTTACACTCCTCTCCATTCTACTTCCTGTTGTTTCATTCAGTTGAATGTTTTCAGTGTTTGATTATGACTATTCTATTTCCATCTTACTTTCCAATGAGTTCATTTTCTTGTTAATATCAACCAAACGGAAGCCTTCCGATCCTATCGTAAATAGTATAAGTGTAATCGCGATGTGTATCTTCCTTCATGTGTTTATGCGTTATTTAAGACTTTCATAAGCAACAACAGCGTTGATGAAAAAATCTTTTTTTCTGAACGAAACCAACATTTGTATTGAATTTAAACACATCAAGAAACCTTTTTCACATGAAGAGATAAATTTCATTTTTAGCCACTAATTTCCTCCTACCCCATAGACATGCCGAAAAAATTTTTTTAATCTATCATTCGTTTCAAAGCTTATAAAGGATCGATCCTATATCTCATATAGTAAGTTATGAGGGATCCTATCTCTCGTATATTGNGACTTTATGAATCCTTTTTCTCACAAGCTACTGCTGTAAACATTTGTTTTATGACTGCAATATTCTGTGACCGTGCGATTCTCTTCGATCGCATTTCATTGATAAGAGAATACGTCCGAAAGCTGACGAACAATAAACCGATGAAGGATAAACCAACTTGAAGTACGTACGCAATTTAGTATTTGCATATTTGCATGATAAATTTGCATATTTTACGGCTTGAAACGATATTCGCCGAATTGCACACGGTTTCGTAATCGACCTGTTGATTTCCTCTATTCTCCTACTAATTGTGAGTAGAATCGCCTTAAATGAACTATTTCCATTGCGCGATTTTGTTGATTTCAACGGAAATAAATGTATTTTTTATTTACAGTTAGGCTGAAGTTGAGATGCAAATTTCATCGCTGTTACGCTGAAATTTCGTTGTTTCTCTCTTTTGTAGTGTTTCGTTGATTGTCTATTGCGTTGGATTGTAGTATTGTTCTTGACAGATCGATCAAGTTGTTGACGGTCACGATTGATTCAATTTTCACTGAAAGTAATCTTCGCATATCTGATGATCCATATATACGCATACAGCTGCTCAAGATTATTTGGCACTCGTTAACAATATAACAGCGAACGTTGTTACGTGAAACGTGGATTTTAAGCTTATTAAATTTGAACGAACGAAATTCTCCAGCAGTTTTGGAGAGTGTAGAATTTGGAAATGAGAGATCGCAACTGAAGAACTACTTCTCATTTTCAGTAATTGGCTGGTAATGCGAGAGGCACACTAACGGCCAATCTCGCGATGGCCAAGGAGTATCAATTCAATTGGAGGTCAAATATTTCTGAAACACTTCTGCTGGGATCATACTTCGATCGATACGACGATGTTGGTTTCATTGCTCACTCGAAATGCTCTTTCAGATCATTTTTCGACTATGCTCTAAATAATGCTCAACCTCTTTCTCGGTCACATGCAGCAATTTCTAAGCAAATACTATTTCCCGAGTTAACGTCCACTCGTTCAAACTTCCAACAACTCTTCAAATCCACCAAATCCTACAATATTTATCGTGATCATATCGCTATGATATGATCACAATTGATAATATAGTAGTTATTGTTGGTGATAGATGCATGATTTTGAAGGAGAGTACTTGTCTGGATCTCAATGCCCACTTTCGTGTCGATGAGTACGGGTTTTTCTTGTATTGGGCATGCGAAGGACGCGATACGATTGTCATCGATCTTGTCCAGGTAAACACTTCACTGCTGTTCACTATACTGCATTAGCAGTCGTTCTTACACAATCCGTAAATCGCAAATTTAGGCTTTTTGAATGTCGTTCGCTATTGTTTGGCATAAATCAGTGTTTTTTTTCAAATACCAGGTATGGGAGGCACGCCCAGCGGGTTTGCCAAAAGACGGTCGAGTGCTGTTCGAGTTAGAGCAACGTGGTCCTCGAGAAACGCTGGAGGAACGAACCATTTGGATGACGCATGGCGTTGATCTNTTTTAAGTCACATTCGGCGTCAAATTTGTGCTCTTAAATTCATTGATGAACTCAATCGCGGAATAACTCAAGTGACTCATATTCATCTGTAGAAGAGTAAAAGTTTGTAATCCTGATCAGTTCGGATTTTTTTGATCTGAGTGAGCGTCTTCCATATATTTTCATACAAATGCCGAACGATTCCACGAAAGTAATGTCAACGGAACATGCTAATAAATGCTAATATGCTCTTTCGTTCAGATATGGCGTAACGGGTTGAATGATTTGTTGAAGAATACAAAACTTCGGCATATTTCCTATTCGACGTGCCTCTTGAAAAAGTTCGTTTGCCATAGCGCTCTTCTGTTTTCAGTTCCAAGAGTTCCTTTCACTGAAAGTTTTCCCAAATGCGACAGTTTTTTCTCCGCAATTTTAGTCTGCAATTCATTATTTTAAATGCGTTCAATTGCATCCATCGTCACAGTTGAGCAATCGGTATTTAGGCAGAATCAATTCAAAATTGAGCTGATTATAAATAGAAATCGCTATTCATTTCGTTCTTTTTTCTGGATTACATGATCCTATGCTTTAATAATATCAAATGACTATCGAATGTCGCTCATCGAAAACCAATTTCTGCAAAAAAATACAAGCAAATACGTTCTCAGTGAAAACGAATATGTACACGTTTGCATTCAACCGATTCGGGGAAAATACAATTATAAACATCGCTTGAAAACTGTGAATTTCAATTGAAAATCCGAGAAAAAGCTTATGATTGAAATGAGTTTTCTGAATGAACTGTGAATTTTNAGATTAAACTTCTTCCAATTTCAATTGAGATATGCAAGTTTACCAATGGAAAAGGCTTTCCGAGTGTCTTGAAGTGTACTGAATTCTGAAGCGTTGAAATGAAGAGCAAATGAATTTAGTTGGCGATATTTGTGTTTATCGCTAAACGATCGTCGCAAAATTCCGATCAAGAATATTGTGAAGATGTTCGCGAGTGGAAAAAGCGACAAAATGGTCCAGAAATGTCTCAGTGACTTAGGTTTATCTGGCGATAAGGTATGTGTCTTGCTATTGCATATGGACGAAGCCTAATGACAGTGTCCCTTATCTTGTTGTTATGATGAGCCAAAATAATGGCTCGAAATCTCGTTACTTCTCGATTCTGAATTTTGCAAATTGAGGATTTTTAAACTCTGAAGAACTTCCACCTGAATTCTTTTTTATAATCGTCATGCCTTCGTTGTGCTGCATGCATACGTTGCATTTCTTTATCCACACGACTTTTGTATTCACAGA